GGTACAAAAACAAACTCATAGACCAATGTAACAGAACAGACAGTCCAGAAATAATGTCACACACCTACAACCATCTGATCTTCAACAAAGGTGACAATAGAAATGTGGAAACAATTCCCTATGCAATAAATGGTGGCGGAATAACTAGCTAACATTATGTAGAAGACTGGAACTGGACCCCTTTATTACACCATATACAAAAATCAACTCAAGATTAATTAAAGACTGAAATGTTTATTTTAACATTATAAAAAACCCTGGAAGATAACTTAGGAAATACCATTCTAGACATAGAATCTAGTAGAAATTTCATGATGAAGATACCAAAAGCAACTGCAAAAAAGCAAACATTGACAAATTGGACCTAATTAAACTAAAGAGCTTCTTTACAGCAAAGGAAACTATCAACACAGTAAATAGACAACCTACAGAATAATAGGAGATATTTTCAAACTATGCTTCTAACAAAGGTCTAGTATCCAGAATCCATAAGAAACTTAAACAAGTTTACAAGAAAAAAAAGACCTCACTAAAAAGCAGACAAAAAAACATGAAAAAGATGCTTCTCAAAAGAAGACAAACATGTGGCTAACACACATATAATAAAATGCTTATCAATAATTATTGGAGAAATGCAAAGAAAAACCATGAGATACCATCTCACGCCAGTGAGAACGGCTATTAAGCCAAAAAATAGATTATGTCAAGGTTGCAGAGAAAAGGGAATACTTATACACTGCTGTTAAAAGGGTACATTGCGGTGGCTCAACCCTATATTCCCAGCATCTTGTGTGAGTGGAGGCCGAGATGGGCGATCCATGAGGCGTCAGCAGATCGAGACCATCCGCTAACACGTGAAACCCGCGTCGTCTATCTAGAAAAAATACAAATAAAAAAAAAACTTAGCTGGCTAAGACGTGGCGGGCACCTTTAGTCCCGGCTACTTGGGAGGCTGAGGCAGGAGAATCGTGTAAACCCTGGAGGCAGAAGCTTAGCAGTGAAGCGAATCGCGGCCACTGGCACTCCAGCTGGGGTTGACGCAGAGCGAGACTCGCGCTCAAAAAAAAAAAAAAAAACAGAATTACCATTTCATCAAGCAACCTCATAATTGGGTATATACCCAAAGAAATATAAATTATTCTGTCATAAAGACACATGCACAAGGGTGTTCACTGCAGCACTATTCACAGTAGCAAAGACATGGAATCAACTTGAATGTCTATCAGTGGTAGACTGAATAAAGAAAATATGGTATGATCAGGCACAATGACTCACGCCTGTAATCCCAGCACTCTGAGAGGCCAAGACAGGTGGATTGCCTGAGCTCAGGAGTTTGACACCAGCCTGAGCAACATGGAAAAATCCCATCTCTAAAAAACTACAAAAACAAAAATTACCTAAGGCATGGTGCTGTATGCCTGTAGTCCCAGCTACTTGGAAGGCCGAGGTACAAGACGATTGCTTGGCCCAGCGTGATGGCTCACACCTGTAATCCCAGCACTTTGGGAAGCCGAGGCGACGGATCACCTGAGGTCAGGAGTTTGAGACCAGCCTAACATGGTGAAACCATCTCTACTAAAAATACAAAAATTAGCCAAGTATGGTGGTATGTGCCTGAAATCCCAGCTACCAAGGAGGCTGAGGCAGGAGAATCGCTTGAACCCGGGAGGCAGAGGTTGCAGTGAGCCGAGAGGCACCATTGCACTCTAGCCTGGGTGACAGAGTGAGATTCTGTCTCAAAACAAATAAAAAAAAAATCACTCAGCCATAAAAAAAACATGCCCGAGAAACTTGCTAAACTCACTCTGAGAAAGAAAAAGGGAAATGAAAATTTTCAACAAATAAAATATATTATTAGATATTAATGTTTTTGAAACTCACCTCTTTTATGCCCTTTGTAAATATTTTCTTACCTTTCAAGCTCTACTAATAAAACGCAATACACAGTTAAAAAACTGAGGTGAGCTGGGCACAGTGGCTCAGGCCTGTAGTCTCAGCACTTTGGAAGGCCCAGGCAGAGGAGTCACTTAAGGCCGGAAGTTTGAGAACAGCCTGGCTAACATGATGAAACTCCATCTCTACTAAAACTACAGAAACGAGCTGAGTGTGGTGGCGCACACCTGTAGTCCCAGCTACTTGGGAGGCTGAGGCATGAGAATCACCTGAACTCAAGATCTAGAGGTTGCAGTGCGCCTAGACGGCACCACTGTACTCCAGCCTGGGTGACAGAGGGAAACTGTCTCAAAAAAACAAAAACAAACCTTCGGTCAAAATACGTGAAAAAACCTTTTCAAGACACAGATATGTCTTAATCATGTGTCAAGTCAGGCAACCCAAATACTTGAGAGACTGTCCCACCCCATCCTACTCACTGAAGTGCTCAATAACCCCCTCTCAGGAGACTCTGAACTACGCTCCATTGAGTGCCTCAGACGCATTTTATTCCTCAAGTTTTTACACCATCTCACTGGGGTCAGTTTTTTGGGGTTTGTTTTTGTTTTTGAGAAGGGGTCTCACTCTGTCGCCCAGGCTGGAGTGCAGTGGCGTGATATCCGCTCACTGCAACCTCCACCTCCAAGGTTCAAGTGATTCTCCTGCCTTAGCCTCCTGAGTAGCTGCGATTACAGCCGTGTACCACTACACCCAGCTATGTATTTTATTTTATTTTATTTTTTTGTATTTTTAGTAGAGATGGGGTTTCACCATGTTGGCCAGCTGGTCTTGAACTCCTGACTTCATGATCCGCCCTCCTTGGCCTCCCAAAGTGCCAGGATTACAGGCGTGAGCCACTGTGCCTGGCCCTGGTTTGGTTTGGTTTTGTTTGTTTCTAGAATTTTTTTTACTATTTTTCTGCCCTCTAAAGGAAACCAGGAGTTAGAAATTACTTGTTTTCTCCTCAATACTAGTATCTGATTGGCTGACCAGCAATGTGTCTTTAAGAAACGAAGGCCGGGTTGGGTGAAGACAATATTAATGTCTCAAAAAATTAGCTTTAAAAAAAAAAAAAGTGCACCAGGAAATGCCTCTTAGACTCAGGGCATCCACCTGCACACTTGGGAAGCTACACTCAATACCTCAGATTTTCCTATGAGAGACTATGACCCAAAGCTGATATTTACTAGACACTCTAGCAGACACAACCACGGTGGGTATCTTAGTTTATCCCAATACAGTTCTGAAACCCAGGTCCAAGAAAACCGAACGGTGACTGAAGACACATCACACTATAGTTTCCAAAAGGAAAACTTGACCCAAAAACATTCTGATAAGATATCTGTGTCTAGGGAAAATAGAAGAAAAAAACACACAGAGATATTTTACAATACAGTGTCAAGAGATTATTCTTTGCTTTCTTCTCATAGGAAATATTTACAAAAAGAAAACAAATCTTTTTAAATGTGCCATCAAATGCTGTCAAAAAATGATTAATTGACCAGGCGAGGTGGCTCACGTCTGTAATACCAGCTCTTTGGGAGGCCGAGGCAGGCGTATGGCTTGAGGCTAGGAGTTTGAAACCATCCTGGCCAATACAGTGAAGCCCGGTCTCTACCAAAAATACAAAAATTAGCCAGGTATAGGGGCGGGCGCCTGTAATTCCAGCTAGTTGGAAGACTGAGACAAGAGAATCGTTTGATCCCATAAGGCAGAGGTTGCAGACAGCCTAGATCGCACCACTGCACTCCATCTGAGGTGACAGAGCAAGCCTCTGTCTCAAAAATTAAAAAAAAAAAAAAAAATTAAAATAGGTATCAAAACGTACACTAAAGGACAAATAGATGATAAAGTGAATCAGGGAGGGGAAACTGGCATTTGGGAATATCAGACGAAACGGGAAATTTAGTATTTTCCTGCAAGCCAGAGTTAGGCTGGAGGAATAGGGGATGAGGGGTGAACTTGAAGCCCTGCTTGGGACACATGTGAAAATTTCAGAAAAAAATCAGTCCCCTATGGAATGTGAAAATAATTAAGTGGCAGGCAATTAGATTGAGGTGGCTCTAGTCCCCGGATTTCTACTTCTAAAAATAAAAATCTAAACTCAAGAGCATTTTTTTGGTATATTACTACATTAGCGGAAACAAAATTCAGGCTTAACCAAGAATAAGCTGCCAATTGAGCTCTGATTACATTACCAGGCTATTTCTACCTTGAATGTAAAAATCAAGAAAATAGGCTGGGCACGGTGGCTCACTCCTGTAATCCTAGCACTTTCGGAGGCCGAGGTGGGTGGATCACCTGAGGTCAGGAGTTGGAGACCAGCCTGGCCAACATGGTGAAACCCCGTCTCTACTAAAAATAAAAAAATTGTGGTGGCGGGCGCCTGTAATCCCAGCTACTAGGGAGGCTGAGGCAGGAGAATCGCTTGAACCCAAGAGGCAGAGGTTGCGGTGAGTCGAGATCACACCACTGCACTCCAGCCTGGGCAAAAGAGTGAGACTGTCTCCAAAAAAAAAAAAAAAAAAAAAAACTAGATAATTGTACCTAGCCAATTATTGAATTTGGTTTTCATTATCATGAACCTTATATCAATCTTTTCTTCAAGCCCCTTCCATGGACCACAAATTACAAACCACAGCTGGGTGCTGTACAATTTTTTCAATTATTCTTTTATTAAATTACTATTTTTGCAGTGACGCCCATAAATTTTTAATGGGAAAAAAGAGGGCCTGGGAACCCCACAGACCAAAGCTCTTCCCGTTCATGAACACGCAACCCGAGTCAGGATTCTCCCCTGACGACCATCCCTGGGTCCCTGCACAATTTGGGAGAGACGCGGGACTGCGGGTCACTGCGCAGGGAAGAGACAGGACGCCTGGGGATTTGGCTGTCAGCGTAGCCGCCATCTTATTTCTGCAGGGGACTGAGGCCGAGCTGGGAAAGGAGAACTCCGGGCGCAGATTGTGGAGCTGACTGCGGGGAGGCCTGCGTCCCGCCACAACCGCTTCCCACCAGTTCCAACCAGCCCCCTCCCCTCTCTCGGGATGTCGGACTGGAATTCTTACCATTTCTAGGCCTCTAGGGGGTCCCGGCATCTTAGCTGTGGAATTCCAATACCTACTGGTAACAGCGCCACAAACGCGGGGCCTCTAGGAGCAGAGGATACAGATCAGTGAAGACAGACCTGCAGCTCCAGCGGCAGCCAGAGACAAAGGCCCCGCCATATCCCGGAAGCCGCCCTGTCCGCTCCAGCTGTGTGCCTGATTGGACAGTTCCCAGCCCAACGTCCCTGATTGGATAACGTTTAAGGCCCCGCCTAGTCAGACCCTGAGTGATAGAAGATGTGATCACACGCTGGACTGAAGAGTGACAGCTTAAGCTGCAGCCTTATCAGGCAGGGCTTCCTCCCTGAGCTGAGCCAGGCCCACCCCAGAGCATGCGAAAATTCTATATCCGTTTTGCTCTCTCTCTTTTTCAACGTATTCAAAATGTGAACAAACATATTTTATGTATATTAATAATACATAAAATTTTTGTTCAAGAGAAAATCAACTTTTACTTTAGTAATAATGTATTATCAGTACAAAAGCTAATTTAATAAACCGTTATAAGTAAATCCATCAGCTGGGCGCGGTGACTCACACCTGTAATCCCAGCACTTTCGATGGCCCAGGCGGGCGGATCACCTGAGGTCAGGAGTTCAAGACCAGTGTGACTAACATGGTGAAACCTCATCTCCACTAAAAATACAAAGTTAGCTAGGCGTAGTGGCATGTGCCTGTAATCCCAGCTTCTCGGGAGGCTGAGGCAGGAGAACTGCTTGAACCCAGGAGGTGGTGGCTGCAATGAGTGTAGATCGCGTCATTACACTCCAGCCTGGACACCAAGAGTGAAATTCTGTCTCAAAAAAATAAAAGTAAAAAAAAAATTAGCTGGGTATGGTGGCGCGTGCCTGTAATCCCAGCTTCTCAGGAGGCTGAGGCAGCAGAATTCCTTGAACCCTGGGGGCTGAGGTTGCAGTGAGTCAAGATCTTGCCACCGCACCCTAGCCTAGCCTGGGCGACACAGCGAAACTTTGTCTCAAAAATAATAATAATAATAACAAAAATAAAGTCTATCGAATTTGTCTTTTTGACCATTCTAGATTTTTATACATATTTTATGATATCTTATCATTTTTTATTTTTTATTTTTTGTCTAGACAAAGTCTAGCTCTGTCGCCCAAGCGGGAGTGCAGTGGCGCCATCTCGGCTCACTGCAACCTCTGCCTCCTGAGTTCAAGCGATTCTCCTGCCTCAGCTTCCCGAGTAGCTGGGATTACAGGCATGCATCACCACACTCGGCTAATTTTTTGTATTTTTAGTAGAGGCGGGGTTTCACTGTGTTGCCAAGCTGGTCACGAACTCTTGGCCTCAGGTAATCCACCCCTCTCAGCCTCCCAAATTACTAGGATTAAAGGCGTGAGCCATCGTGCCCGGCCATTTTTTAAGTTTTTATATTTTATTTTAATTTACATTATTTTTATGTTTTCAATTTGAAACAACCCCTAAGTAGTTTCAAAGTAGACAAAATGTTTCTAACTTTCTTCATCAAAAGCATATTTTGCTTTTGTTTATACACTTTCTTTTTTTATTTCCGGGAGAGAGGCTTGTTCTTTCACCTAGGCTGAAGTGCGGTGGCGCAAACTTGACTCACTGCAACCTCCGTCTCCCAGGTTCAAGCGAATCTCCAGCCTCAGCCTCTGAAGTAGCTGGGACTACAGGAGTAAGCCATCAGGCCCGGTTTATTTCCGTATTTTAAGTAGAGAATGGAATTTGCCTTGTTGCTCAGGTTGGTCTGGAACTCCTAAACTCGAAATGATCCGTCTACCCTGGCCTCCCAAAATGTTGGGATTACAGATGTGAGCACTTTGTTTATACACTCTCTACGAAAAATTGGTTTTCTTACACCTAGAAATCTTAGCTATGTATATATAAATTACATTAACCCTTAACAAACTAATTTTTAATGAAATCCCTAGAAAGTAATTTTGAACTGTTTTGTATCAATATTTGTAGATAAAAAATATTTTATGTTTTTTAATGTTTATTCAAATTTTCTGTTAAGCAACAGATCTAAATACAGTTAACTTTTCTATATCATGTTTAAAAAAAATTGTGGGCTGGGTGCAGTGGCTCACACCTGTATTCCCAGCATTTTGGGAGGCCGAGGTGGGTGGATCACGAGGTCAGGAGTTCGAGACCAGCCTGGCCAATATGGTGAAACCCCCATCTCCACTAATAAATACAAAAATTAGCTGGGCATGGTGGCGCGCACCTGTAGTCCCAGCTACTCGGAGGCTGAGGCAGGAGAATCGCTTGAACCTGACAGGCGGTGGTTGCAGTGAGTCAAGATCAGGTCACTGCACTCCAGCCTGGGTGACAGAGTGAGGCTCTGTCTCCAAAAAAAAGAGAAAAGATTGTGGTCACTCATAATGGTTCATGCTTATAATCCCAGCACTTTGGGAGGCCAAGAAATGAAGACTGCTTAAGCCCAGGAATTCGAGATCACCCTAGGCAACACGGCAAAAACATGTATCTAAAAAAATACAAAAGTTAACTGAGCATGGTGGCCTGCACCTTTAGTACCAGCTATTCAGGAGGCTGAGGGAGGAGGATTGACTGAACTAAGGAGGTCAAGGCTGCAATGAGCCCTGATCAAGCCATTGCACTCTATTCTGGGTGACAGAGTGAGACCCCTTCTGAAAAATAAAAAATAAACCAAAAACAGCCAAAGCACAGAAAGTTAAACTTATGGGGTTTGGGGTTATTTTGTTTCTGTTTATTATTATTATTATTTCCGAAGTTTCTAAAGTACAGATGATGTTTGGTTACATGGATAAGTTCTTTTGTAGTGATTTCTAATATTTAGGTGCACTCATCTCCCAAGCAGTGTGCACTGTACCCAATATGTAGTCTTTTATCCCTCACTCCTCTCCCACCCTTGCCACTGAGTACCCAGAGTCCATTTATATAATTCTTATGCCATTGCATTGTCATAGCTTAGTTCCCACTTATAAGTGAGAACATACAATGTTTGGTTTTTTATTTCTTAGTTAATTCACTTAGAATAATGGTCTTCAACTCCATCGAGGTTGCTGCAAATACTATTATTTTATTCCTAGTTATGACTGAGTAGCATTCATTGGTGTGTATATATGTATGTATATATACACACATATGTGTGTGGCATATGCCACATTTTCTTTTTCCACTCATTAGTTGATGGGCATTAATTAGGCTGCTTCCATTCTTTTGCAATTGCAAATTGTGCTGCTATAAACATGCATGTGCAAGTGTCTTATTCATATAATGACTTCTTTTTCTCCGTGTAGATACCCAGTAGTGGGATTGCTGAATCAAATGGTAGTTCTACTTTTAGTTTTTAATGAATCTCCATACTGTTTTCCATAGTGGTTGTACTAGTATACATTCCCACCAGCAGTGTAAAAGTATTCCCTTTTCACCACAGCCATGACAACATGTATTATTTTTTGATGTTTTAATTATGGTCATTTTTGCAGGAATAAGGTGGTATCACATTGTGGTTTTGATTTGCATTTTCCTGATCATTAATCATTAGTAATGTTGAGCATTTTTATCAATGTTTTTTGGCCATTTGTATATCTTCTTTTGAGAGTTAATTAAGTCTCATCTGTCTTTGTTTCATGTTGCATGTGTTTTGGGGTTCTTGGTCATGTAGGCTTTGCCAAAGCCAATGTCTAGAAGAGTTTTTCCAGTATTATCTTCTACAATTTTTATAGTTTCAGGTCTTAACATTTTTGATCCATCTTAAGTTGATTTTTGTTTTGCTGAGTCTTACTTTATCTATGCAGGTTCTTTTTTGTTTCATATGAATTTTAGATGTTCTTAGTTATGTGAGGAAATTATGATGTTACCTTCATGGGAATTGTATTGAATTTGTAGCTCGCTTTTGGTAATATCATCATTTTTACAATACTAACCCTATCCCTCTATAAGCATGGGATGTGTTTTTATTTGTTTGTGTCATCTATGATACCTTTCAGCAATGTTTTATAGTTTTTCTTGTAAAGATCTTTCATGGCCTTCTTTAGGGATAATCCTAATTATTATTACTATTTTTTTGCAGCTGCTTTAAAAGAGGCTGAGTTCTTGATTTAAATATCAGTTTGGTTGCTATTGGTGTATACCAATGCCACTAATATGTGCACATTAATTTTGTATCCTAAAACTTTACTGAATTTATTTATCAGATCTAGAGGCTTTTTGATGAGTATTTAGGGTTTCCTAATTAGATAAGTGTAACATCAGTGAACAGTGGCAATTTGACTACCTCTTTACCAACTTGGAGGCTCTTTATTTCTTTCTTTTCTCTAGTTGCTCTGGCTAGGACTTTCAGTACTATGTTGAATAGAAGTGATGAAAGTGGGCACTATTGTCTTGTTCCAGTTCTCAGAGGAAATGTTTCCAACTTTTTCCTGTTCAGTTTAATGTTGGCTGTGGGTTTGTCACAGACGGTTTTAAAAAAAAAAATGAAGAGATTGATTCTGAGCCATATATGCGTGGCAATGGCCTATGACACAACTGTCAGGAGGTTCTGAGAATATGTGCCCAAGGTGGTCGGGGTAGAGCTTACTTTTATGTATTTTGGAATGAGACATCAATCGAATATTTTTTTTTTTGAGATGGAGTCTTGCTCTGTTGCCCAGACTGGAGTGCAGTGGCATGATCTGGTCTCACTGCAACCTCCGCCTCCCGGGTTCAAGCCATTCTCCTGCCTCAGCCTCCCGAGTAGCTGGGACTACAGGCATGTGCCACCACTCCCAGCTAATTTTTGTATTTTTAGTAGGGACGGAGTTTCACCGTGTTAGCCAGGACCTGACCTCATGATCCGCCCGCCTTGGCCTCCCAAAGTGCTGGCATTACAGGCGTGAGCCACTGTGCCTGGCCAATCACATACATTTAAAAAATGCACTGGTGGGCAGGTGCAGTGGTCTGAGCAACAGACCAACACTCTGCCTCAAAAATAAATAAATGCATACATACATACATACATACATACATACATACATTGGTTTGATTCACAATGGTTGGACAACTCAAGCAGGGGGCTCTCAGGTAAATTTAAACATTTTCTGGTTGACAATTGGTGGAATTTATCTGAAGACTTGGGATCAACAAAAGGGAATTTTTAGGTTAAGGTAAAGAATTATGGAGACCAAGTTTTACTGTGCAGAGAAATCTCTCAGATAGCTGACTTCAGAGACAGAACAGGTTGTAAA